CGGAATGAGGGTTCACCCCGCACAACATGATCCACTCGACCACCATTATGGTTACCGCCAAAAACAAACAAAGGTAAAAAAAAAACCGGTAACATGGTGGCCGAGTTCACGAAGTGACTTGGCTTGTTTTACAATGTCGTTGCCAAGCGACGAAAACCCATCCCCGATGCCAACCACCACGGGGGGGGGCGTTGTAGGGGTGGGGAAAATGTGCTCGCCATTGGACGGCCTAAGGAAATCAATGAATAGGTCGATGAGGATACTGTTATTTAGCTATGCAATAGAGAGGGGGGTTTCGTAACCCTACCCCTCAATAGGTGTGCCCCCCCCTACCCTAACCCGCCCGACAGGAGCTGGAAGAGAACGTGGAGTACGTGGAGAAGGAGGACGAGTTCGACGTGGTGGTTGAGGAGGGTGACCCAGAGGGCACCAAGCGCAAGGCGGAGAAGGAGAAGCAGGAGGAGGAGGAGGCTGTCGTGTCCATCGATGCGATCGATACGGTAAGAGCTAGCATACATAGCATTCGCACAAGTTTCGCTTTTTTTCTGTCCCACACCGGATTCATGTCTTATCCACAGGATAGGTTAGCAGTGAATCCATAGTGACGCATGAGTTTTTTTGCGAGCGCTACCAACCAAGCTTTGGCCTCATATATTACAGACAAACCTAGCCATACTTTGTGGCAGTTGATTGGCGGAGGTTTGTGGACATTTCTACAGCACATATCAGGCGGGCTCTCTGATCATGGGTTTCGACAGGGCGGGCGGTAATAACCTCTTTCTCCTCTCCACCCCCGGCGTCCTGTTGACTCACGTTTTTTATTTCTCACGGCTTGTACCCGGCACTCTCACGTAATGTGATGCAAAAATATACAAAAATCGTGTTGTGGCGAGACCTGGCTTTATAGGCTGACCTCCCGAAGTGAAAATAAGTCAGAACTGCGGTGATCGCGAAAACGTTGTTCGTTTCCCCGTACCGACCCTCTTTCGAGTATCACCTTGACTTCCACCACCATCACCACGAACAACAACACCTCGACCACCACACGACCAACGACATCAGTAACCTCCAAAGGGTAACCTCTCCCGCTGTCCATGTCGCTGCTCTTCCTCCTCAACAGGTGGACGCCTGGAGCACGGACTCGGAGGGGGAGGACCGCCTGCAGCCCTTCTACCTCTCCACCGAGCCTGGCGCGGCCGCTAGGGAGGGTTGGTACGACCTAGACGTGCAGACCTCGAAGAGGGGGATATCTTCCAAGCCGGGGGGAGGGCGCTGGGAAGACAAGGAGGAATGGACGAGCGTGCGGGCGGGAGACGGCGGAGGCGGGAAGAAAGGGGGCGGCGGCGCGAAGAAAAAGAAGCTGTCGAACCGGGAGTTCGGCAAGAGGAGTAGGAGCCATGCCGGCAAGAACAACAACCAAGCCACCTCCTCAAAGGCTAGGGGGGCCGACGCGCCATCAGGACCAGGGCGCGGCGGCGGCGGTGGCGGCGGCGACGGTGGTAGTGTTGGCGGTGGTGCAGCGTCATCAGGATCAGGGCGCGGCGACGGCGGCGGTAGCAGTGCCGGTGGAGGTGCAGCAGCAGCTACGGGCGCGGCATCGGCTGTCCAGGAAACCGGCAGCGGGAGCCACGCCAACGGCAAGGGCGGCGGCGGCGGCAGCGGCGGTGACAACACCCAAGAGCGAAGGAGGACCGCGACACCCCCACCACCACCATCCGCTACCGCACCAACTTCTCCGGCAAAACGTCTCGACGCCGGCGGAATCGCAAATGCGGACGCCAACGGCAGCACCAGAGGTCCGGTTCCGCCCGGGCGCAGAACTGGCGGGAGCGGTAGGGCCGGGGCGGAGGAGGACGGCAGCCGAAGCAGCGGCGAGCGTCACGACTCGGCTCCCGCAACAAGCGACAGAAAACTGACGACTGTTTCCGCGGCGACAGGGGAGGGGGGTCCCTCGTCAGCGGGGGCCCCGCAGACGGGGAAGATGAAGAGGCCAAGGGAACAGGAGGGACAGCACTAGAGTTTTTGTTGGGCTGTTACGGTTGTTGTCGAGATGGTGGCCGCTCATTTCGTTTTGTAGCCGACCGGCCGAGTATGTTTGAGGCGCGCTCTTTGTTTCGAATTTTGTTGTCCGACATGCGCGTTGTAGATAGACTTGTCAGGTCAGCCAATCTCGATTTTTCGTAGTCCTTAAATAGAGAGAGGTCAGGGGAAGATGGTAGCGCTGCAAGGAAACAGGCGGGAGAGAAAGGCAACAATTGTCTCCCCGCCCCTCCGTGTAGATTTTCCGAAAAGGAAGACGCCTATTTTAATAGTGGCGACGGAAGGAAACATACCTGTCTGGGCACACAGCGTTTGGGTCATGAGAGCGGCACACTGACTGGCTGGAAAAAAGAGGCATGCCGCGGGCGGACCTGTCTGCATGTATGATAGGACTGACACTTGGAGCTCGCTTTTCTTGAGACTTTGTGCACCTTCGTCCATCACATCACCGCATGTCCGCGAGACGTTATGTGAGTCTCTTGGTCACTCACTCCGGTGTGTGCCTCCGGGATAGTGTGGCACTGCCCCCACGACCCACCCTTCATTGTGTTGGGCGAAAAGGTGTACCTTACTTGCCTGATGACCGATCAGGAGGGAAAACAACCAATGCAGCAAGAGTTTTGATAAAAATAACGGTTCGAGAGCTGGACGGTGAACTTAATCAACACTGCAAGCGTCCACGCTTCAAGGACACCACAATTTTTGGGGCTCTCCTCGCTATTCGGACCCGTGGTTTGTCCGAAGCATGGTGCCCAGCAGACTGTAGAACCATAGGAGGGGCGTGTAAGGCCATGTGAAACATATGAGTGTCCCAACTTTACTAATAGTGAAGACAGTCGTACTTTGGGTTGACGTCAAGTGCTCAAGACTGAAGGAAAACAGGTCTGGGATTTCTTGAGCGCATATGCATGGAGAAAAAATCTCTCAGTTTCTGTTACAGTAGTGACTTTTGTGAGGCGTGTCGGAAATCCGAATTTGCAGGTGTGGGTAACTAGCGACACTTCGCTCTCCAGCCGCCATGGGGGGGCGACAGCACCCAATTTTCTGCACACCCGCGATTTGAGCCAGTGGTGTTTTCGGCAAGTTTGTATCAGGAGTGCGTGTGAAGAATTCCACGCTAAGCAAGATCATTTTCATTGGATGCATTCTCCAAGTCTCCTTTTCTCTACCTCGACAAAAAACAGGCTTGCCGCCTCCAGCCACTACACAATGCACGCGTCATGGCCTTCTTCGCGCAGGCATCGACGCGGGGACGATTGAGCCATATCGCTCCACTTCGTTTGTGATCCCCAAGTCGCCTTCCACTGCTTGTGACGCTCACTACACCGGACTACTATGACCGCTGGAAGAGCAACTACGAACCAACCGAACCCAAAACAAGTCTATCCGCTGAAAAAAATCCATGAAAACGCGGGCGTTCCTTGCAGGATCGCCAACTGCGTTGCCTAAAGTAGCCGCTGGAAGACTATATCAGCGGCGTGCCCGACAAAAGGACAAGTCACTACTGGATTTACCTCAATCCAAAGTGTGCTGTCTACTTCTCCGGGAGCACAACACCGCCTACACACACGGGCACCCGACAGCACAGACTAGGATAGAGGAGAGCCGATATTCAAAGTAACTTGGGCAGGATGCCGAGCCCCTCGCGTGTCATCAGCTGCGACCGCTACGGGGATCAAACGTCTATCCATGAAACAAACTCCATCCTCCAACCCCCCGTATGCTAGCACCTCCGTCGCAAAAATTAGTTGCTGTGATGATCTAAAACGTCAAGTTTTGGTTACGTAGTCAGTCTCCTTTATGTAGCAGTGATGTGGACATGCGTGCTTACGCGCCCCAACCCTGTTCTCAAAATCTTCAACTCCGAACATTGGACGCAGCCGGGCAAAAACACCCGTTTGCCGTCAGTGAACGCCAGTCGCCGTTCAGGTGCACCCTCTTCCCCTCCCCCACCCCTTGCCTTCTTCCAAAAATATATCCGTCGCGCTCCTCACAGTTGGCCGCCGAAAGGACCACCCCGAAAAAATGGTGGATCTCGCCCTGCCAATAAGTGGTAGACTTGATCTGAGCGGCAAGGCGATGGGGATGCCGACCTCCACCACCGGAATCTTCCAAACCTTAGAGGGCCTTGGGCAGGTTGGCAATGTTCCCCGCCGGCCTGTTTTTTTATTTATTTGGCGGGGGATGGGGGGAAAGGAAGTCCGGACATACAGGGAAGACGAAGTCAGTTTTTGGGCAAGAAAAATACATAGCTTCCGCAGGATTTTAATAGTATCTAGACAAAGAATGGGGAGGGAGCACGCAGACCCTACCCCAAACCCAAAAGCACGGATTGAACACCTTATCCCACATGTTTGCTTAATCAATTTTGCTGCGTAGACTACTGCTTCCGCGACAAACAGACCGCTGGCATGACTACACCGCTTCCGAGGACGACGGACGCATGCACAGTTTGAGAGGAATCCTGTCGCATTCCTCTCAGCAGGCGGCCAGGAAATTGCCGGTTGTATGCCCCTTTTCACCCGTATTCACCAAGTACCGGTAGTCTAGCCCATGCCTGATGACCCGGCATGTGAACCAATCGCTGGCGGTATCCATCCCGTTACGAGCACTCGCTGCGCCTCGCGACACACACGCTCGTGTCGTTGTTCCTTGGAAGACCGAAAGATCAGTTTCGCCTCCTAGGGACCTCTCTTGACAGGCGAAACAAGATCCTCTGGACCTCCAAGAAATACCCACCACAAGCACACGCTACACGCGAGGCGCAACTATACACGTACCGGCGGGGGCGGATACCGCCAACAATCGGACAACATGTCGGGCCGTCAGGCACACGCGCTAGGCTCCCCGCAATGGTCAAAAGGGGCAAGAAGTCCATAGGGATATCCACTCATTTCTCCCACACATTTAACACAGAATGCCGGCAAACACAGAACGGCAAAGTCCCGGCCACCAAAGTGAATGTGTCGTGAACGTGCTGGTATCCAACAAGATTCCTCTGCCAACTACGCAGGTATCCGACATCCTCGAGGAAGCGGTGGTCAAAATCAGCGCCGTAAGACGATGCGGCACACACAAAAGAGCCGCTGAACCATACCTCAAGGCGAGGGGACGGAGCAGGTGCTTACGCTAGCCTTAGGCCTGCGCGCATCGGCGGTGCGCCAACGCGCCAACTTCCAAACAACATGCGTGCTGCACACAACCAACGACCTCCGTTTGATCGGAAAGTACAGTCCAAGCCCGACTTCTATTGGTTCCGTGAATAAAAAAGTCCAGCCTTTGGACCGAGCACAGCATACGAAACATAGCACGTAAACGAACTGAAAAACGACTTCCCACTTACTTGGGCGCCGCGGGGCGCGGCTTGGGGGCAGCCTAAAATTCCAGCGACGGCGGCGACGGCAGATCGGGGGATAGAGGAAAGCCAAGAAGTCATGATCAGAAAACGTTGGTGGGTGTGTTTGTGTTTTAGCTTTGGACATTTCCTAATCATCTGTATTGGGGACGGTTCTATCGACGGTTAGACATGATCGAGTGATTTCACCGGCGGTGGAGCGAGATCAACACGCGTTGTGTGACGTGTCACCGCCCGTAGCACCAAACAAAATGCGCCAGAGCATGCCATCATGATTGTCGCAGAAAAAGCCCAGGCCCCTCACCTTCTTGGGAGCGGCCTTCGCTGCCGCCTTGGCCTTAGGGGCGGCCTTGGCTGACCGTGCTCCTACAGCAGGCCGGCCGCCGGACGACTTGGGGGCGGCGGCGGGGGCGGACGGCTTGGAGGCCTTCATGGCCACGGGCGCGGGGGAGGAAGCAACCTGGCGGAGACCGTACACGTTTGCGGTACAGCCGTGGCTCCCATGTTTAGTAAGAGGGTCAAAAATCGGTGTCAAGGACTAGACCCGCTATAGGCTATACAGTTGAGGTCCCTATTTAGTGCCGGGGTGTGCGTCGAAATTTCACCGGCACTTAACCGGACACCGGCACTATTCGAAGTACAGAACGACTTGGTATTCCAGGGTGTGCGAGCCGTATACACCGGCACACTACCGGCAACTAGCACTACAGTATTGAACCGGCACTAAACAGCGACCTCTACTGTAGCTTGGTAACATATTTTTCCCGGAATTAAGAAGGGGCTCCGATAAAAGAGGATCAAGGGCCTTCTTTTCGTACGACCCTCTTATATCGGAGTGAGGACTGCACGAAAACACGTTGGAATCTATGCATACTGCCCAGCACGAGGAACGACCCAAGAAGGACAAATTGTGTGTGTCCACCTGAAACAGGAGGGGGTGCGGCAGCGATTTGTAGATGTTGTTGTTGTTGTCTTCACATTAAAAACCGTTCCGATCTATCTATCCAGTGCCCCCCCCTCAGCGATTGGTCACGGGTAGGGTAAGGAGGGGTGAAGCCCGCCACAAACGTTCACCACTGGATAACGTCATGTCTTCACGTATTTATTGCCGCAAAATGCAGTACTGCTGTAGAGAACATATCATACATGCAACCATAGCACAGACTATCCGTTCGAGATGATACTCCCATCGGACGGATGCGTTCAGAGCTTTCTTTGCAGGCAAGCGTTGACGTACGCAATATTGCCTTATACTTATTGGTACTCTAGCGTTGAGGAAGTATCTGGGGGAGCAGAGGTACAAGCGTTTCGCGTCGCGCCAAAGCGCCAAAGCGCCAGACAACACGGCGTCACAACCGCGAAATAACCATTAAGGAGCAACGGACGGCGACATTCAACAACACGAGCAACACCCGCGGTGTTATACCATCACCCCGTAGTCCACGCAGGTTTTTCGAAGGAAGCAAAACACACAGGATTAAAGTATATAGAATCGGCTGGGTCACGGTTAGCGTAAGCATCTGCGTGCCCCCTCTCATGTCATTCTTCACAATAAAACCGTGTTCTTTCCGGAAAAAGTCCCGATTTACCCCACCACAAATAGGCAAAACAACATCATCAACCGGCAACACACCACCAGCAGCGACGATGCACTTACCGGGGATGCTGCCGCCGGCTTGGGCGACGCGGTCGACGTGATGAGGTCCACCAGTTTTCCGTTCCTGCAAAGGCCAATAGAGACGCCGCCGCAGCAGCAAGCAAGCGGTAGACCAAAACATTAGGCAAGCAGACCGGGCGCAAGCTTCGAAAGGGATGCTTGGGCCGCTCGCCGGCAGGATCACAAAAAAATCGGAACCGCAGGCCAGACATGGGCTCCAGCTCTCACGCGCGGGCGGACAAAATCACTTCTCCCACCCACTCGTCTACCTCTGGCAAGACATAACCCACGTCGCAGGTACCATGCTACGCACGCCGAGTAATGAAAATCGCTAACTGCGTCCACAGCGCTAACCTCCCCACCACGCAGGCACTACTACGCACGCCAAGTGATGAAAACCGCTACCTGCGTCCACAGCGCTAACCTCCCTACAACGCACTTTCCCAGCACGAAGCCCCCCCTCACCCGGTGGCTGATTCGCTTGCTTGAAAGCTGAGCGTACATAGCGCTAATAACTCGCTACGCATCCCACAAAAAATTTCCCACCACGAAGCCCCCCACCCGCCCACTTGAAAGCCGGGCGTTCACAGCGCTAGACCCTCGCTACGCACTCCACACAAATGTTCTATCACGGAGCCGGAGCACCTGCGACGGAATGAACTCACTTGAGGCTAGTCAAAGCGAAGCCCGCGACACCGCAAACGGCGGGAAGAACGAAGAGGAGCGGGAAGGCCACGAAGGTTTCGATGGCGATGCTCGACACCGAGTCGTCCGGGAGGACCGTCACCAAGCCCGCACCTTTTTTGTTTTATGGCGGGAACGAGTGGAATGGAATCGGAGAAGGTGTAGCGGGGCTCGAGACCGTGGACACGTGAGCTTGTCACTCGGAGAGTTACGCACGTATAATCGACAACGATGTTTGCCTTCTAAGACGCGATATGCGACTCACGATCGACACTTGGAAGAGTACGCTGACAAAAAAAAATAGGAGGTGTTGTCTTGAAGACTAGACATGGAACTCACGGTCGTCCCTCGACAGGTCAACGTCGAAGAGAAGAGGACGCGTTGTCAAAGACTACATACGAGAGCTTGGTCGCCAACGAAACCAGCGATCAGCACCAGCCAGCAGCTCTAGTCGCGCTCTTGTGAGGCCAATAAACAATTCACGCCAACCGGGAACATAAGGTTCGCTAGGATGCGTCTGTCAAACACAGCAGATTGTTATCGCGCAGGCCTTACCGTCTGTGGGTGTGTGACAGCCACAGGACTTGAAAAAAAACAGACGATAATAGTTCCAATTGTGTAGCCAACACTCAACAGAAACAAGCTCTCGATGAAGGGAGAGACGGAGATGGGCACAACGAGAGAGAGCGGCAGGCAGACAGACAGAGAGAGAGAGGCACAACGAGAGAGGGAGGGATTCTCCATGTGCAATGGCTCGACAAAAATTTGCCCATCCTGTACCCTTACCTGCGGCGAAGGAAGCCAGACCGGCAAGGTAGAGCGACTCGCCGGGCACGCCGAGGGCGCCAGCGAGCAGTGGGAGGGCGGCGGGCGCGGCGGCGAGCGCCGCCGGTGCGACCTTGAGGAGGTCCGGGCCAAAGCCCTTGGCGAGACCGATCAGGTCGTTCTCGTCCACTGCCGAAGGTCGGAGATGTAACAAACGGAATGCGACAACGGGTATGTTGTTGTTGTTGTCTTCACATAGAAAAACGTTCCTGTCTCCGCTCGGTACCTTCCATTGTCCCTGCCGGACCAACTGAAGCAGAAGCCTTCCATGGTCACAAGCCAACTCCTTCGAGTGTGTGGGTGCACCATTCAAAACAGCGACGAGCCGGAAACGACGCCTCCGCGGAGGTGGCCGATGCCCTGTGACCCGAACAACACCTCAACTCCAAATGATCAAACTACAGACACCGCGGTCACAGAAAGGCGGTGAAGGGAATGCTGTGTGCCGGGTGTGCAAGTGACACGCGTCTTTCTTGAGTTCCACAACACGACCTGCGTGCCATCTGCCAACTCTGGAAGAATCAGTGTCGTGCTTTTGGGGCAGGATAAACAGTCCCTCGAGTGGGTGATTGGCCTAACAGAGTACAAGCAAGTGCCAACAAGATGCGAATAGACGACTACAGCTGTTGAAAGGCCAGAACTCGTTATGTGCCCCTCTCGCTAAATATACCGCGCGGCCGCGGACGAGGACACTTTCGTCCATCCTGACCGGCCAGGCATGGGCTTTCGCTATGTCGACCGCTTTTCTTCGCAGCACGCAAGGCGTAAACCGCTGCGACAGGATCGACATTTACACTCACCCAGGGGGAGAAGCTTCTCAACGTCCTTGAGCGTAAGCCCCGCTGCCTCCAGTTTGGAGAGAAGCCCCAGCTTCGATGCCTGCGAGGGGCGTGGGAAGTATTTTTGTCCATCAAGGGACATGATGCGAAGTCGACAACCTTCAGCACGAAGCGGGCTCGGCAAGGGCATCGAGAATACGGAAATATTTCCGTTCCACCAAGATGGTTGTTGGCGGTTGTCTAATGCAATCCGTGGTGCAGGCAAGATGTGCAAAAAAACGCCAGAGCATGGTCTTGTGGGCTGACATGCCTGCGATCACTATCTGTATCTGCTGATGTAGGCATTTGGTGCACTGGAAGACGTGGATAGGGCTCCCTCCTCTGCGTTAGTAAAACTACACCGTTCCTTGTCAAGCGGTTCAGGGTGCTCCCGGATCATTTTCTCACCGTCGACAGGAGCTTCAGCTTCTCGGTCTGTTTTAGGAGGTCAGGCACCGTCACGTCTGCCGCCATGCGGACGCTGCTGCTCGGCCCCGCACGCCGCATCGACGAAGACGCCGGTCGCACTGATCCTGTTTCGAATTTCATAACGGAAGACATGCGTGTATCGTTCAGAACAGGAAGGCTCATGGTCGACTTCCTTTTAGGCATGGGAGATACTACTAGGCCATGCGTGATGAGTCATATTCAGAAACACCAGAAAAAAAACAAGACAGGGGCCCGTGACAGATGGACTGGACAGCCCATGGCAACTACGGAGTATTCCTCGGTCATGAAGGGCTGCGAGGATCAGTTTTCCCCTGGTGCCGGAGGTTGAATTCCCTTGGACATACAAATACAAATACTTCCGAAGTACAGCGTGTGAGCGGCGGGCTCGACGTCTTTTTCGGGTTGTGCCCTCCTTTGCTCCACGTCTCTTACGATTCGAGGTGTTTGAGCCACTGCCTGCTTTCCACACGCGGCTCGACTTATTGTTTTCTTTGTGTCTGCTAACCTTTTTGTGTCCTCCTCTTTCTTGAGGAGCACGCGGTTCCGACAACAGGAGTGGCGGTATACCATACTGCCACGGAAGCCCCACCCCCAACTGGATTTCTTCGTGCAAAAGGCCCAAGGTACTACATGGGGAGCACGCTGGCGGTGTTTCCTTCATACTCCACCGCTATTCAACACGCAACACACATTTGCTAGTAATAAAAACACCGTAAAGCCGCCTCGTTCGGTTGAGTTCGAGGGGGGGTGGTAATATACGTCATACGCCAGTTTCCGTCCTTGAAAATTGTAGATTACCTGTGGCTACTTTCAGCACTTGGCCAACGGAAGAGGAAATACAGGTCCAGAGCTAACTCACGCTGGCACAACATGGTAACCGGAACATACCGAAATGGCGTAGCGACCAAAATCACCATGGGCATGCGAGAAGATACACAGGGAGAGGGGTAGGACATGCTGACGCAAATATACCTTCTAGGCTACACGTAAGGATACGACAGCGACTTGCAAAAAAAAAAAAAGACCCGAACGTTCGCGACATCTCACACACAGCAGAGACACGAGTTCCACGCATCTGCCACCGAACCACCTTGACACCGAACCAGTATGGTGTTTCAGTAGCAGCGAACCATTCTTGGATGTCGTCGAACGTTAGTTGTGGGGTCATGGACCAGCAGTAGCGTCACACCCCTATTCGTCCACACCAGGCAAGGACGCGACGCAACACCTCGGATTACATGAGGGTTCATGTTGTCAGCTACCGCTGTCACCAGCAGCATGAACGACCACGTACAAGGGGATTACCAAGGTCTGAGGAAATACCATCCACATAACCACTCTAAAATGCACCTCACACACCCCTTGTTTATGGACGAGAGAGCGTTTTGGGAGCATTTGTGAGATCACCCGAGCCTCGGCGCTCCGACTCCCAAGTACGTAATACCCGAAATCACCCCTCTTGTAGGAGCGACGACGTACGTTCGTTCCAAAGCCTTACCTACGAACGCATCCGCTCCACCAGCACAGGCCGCCACAGCGCACGCGAAAGCGAAAGTCTTCATGGCTGTGGAGAGTAGGAGATTTTAGGAGGGGGAGAGGTGGGAGATTGGGTGAAACACAGAGGTAAGATGAACCAGCAGGCATTGCTGCGGCGAAGAAGAGGGGCTCCGTAGTACGATTCGTACCACTGTCGACATGTGGGAAACCCCGCTCCCAGATCCAAAGAAACATGTACACCCGCACTGCTCCGCTGTACGCTCGCCCATATCATGCTGCTCGTGCGGTGCTTTGCTGCACATAAAAAGTGAGCGTGCGATCTACCACATGTAGCGAGATACGACTCTACCGCGCTCAGCGGCTATTCGAGGTTGGAAAAGCGCATCATTTCGGCTAGCGGACAACGGGGCCAGTTTTCGGATACAACATGCGCCCCTGTTCTGAATACCACATCGTCTCCTACCAGCTGTTGCAGACATCTCTTTCTCATCTGTGGAATTGAATCGTTTTGCTCTATAATACGACGCGTCCTCGCGTGTTCTACAGTCTTTTCCCCCATCTCCGCGTCCAAGTTTTCCCTCCTGCGCGACACCTACAGAGGCGACGTAAGATATCACGCCCCCTGGACCGATATTCAAAGCTCGATGCTCCACGAAGAGGATGTTGTGTAGTCTACCTCAAACGATTCGTTTTCGTAAGGTTCTCGACGAGGTGGTTCAAACGCCGCCATATTTGTTAACACCGAGACTCTGCTGCTGTGGAGTACAAACGAGCTTTTATAGTCGTTCTACGTGGTGTGGTATATTACGTCACCTACGAAGTGCCGTTTGTGCAACACATGTATATTCTGACGAACCTTGTGGCTCCAGCCTTGGGCTACGTACATGTGCACCATGCGTATGCACGTGCACACCTGCAGTTTGGGGTGGCCAAACAAGCACACTAGTCAGCATTCTTTCGCGAGTAATACATGTGAAGCTGGGTTCACTCTCTTCCTTGAACATAGTCTATTTGTATGTAGCACCGCGGTACACGTGAGACTCGACTAATGATACCGTGTAGAATACTGCAGTTCAGGCTGCATCGAGTATTTGTTAGCGGAGAGAAGCACATCGCTCATCCTTCGGTGCCTTCAAGTCGCCGAGAAGAGAAGCCGAACCACACCGCTTAACTGCTCATAATATGTCTGTGTGTGATTGCTTCTCCAAGTGCCGGGGTCCAAAGAGATGGAATCCGTGGCACCTCTAGCATACATTCCATACACACAGACAGCCCCCTTTAGTGCCGGTTGAATAGTTCCGGTGCCCGGTATAGTGCCGGTGTTTTCGGCGGGCACACACTGAACTTCCAACTCGTTCTCAGTACTTTTGAGTATTGCCGGTCCGGAATAGTGCCGGTGAATTTCTGGGCCATGCCGGCACCAAATAGGGACCTACTACAGTGTACTTAGTTAATATTGTAAAGCAAATTTTTCATTTCGGGGGCGCCTTCGTCTCAGAGTGTCGGTGAAATTCCTTGGAAAGCACTGTAGAACTACCCACAAGTAGACTATGGCCACCAAAACATGATTGATTCTTGAAAAAACCAGAATATCGCAAACACTCGCTGCATCGAAAATATCACTCATGAACGGCAGTAGTGACCGTACTGCATCTCTTCTGAACAGTCTAACCTCATAGCTTTACGATCCATCTACCCCCTTCATGGTGAAACATGTTACTTCCTGAGACTATTTCTTAGCGAAGCACGTGTAGGACCTACAACATCACTAGAACACCACTACGGGAGAGCGAATGGCGCCGTCGACTATTCTCTACACCAGGCCAGCAGACTAACACAGCCTGCCAAAGGTGCGATGATTGACCCTTGAAAATATGAAATATCGCGAACACCCTGCATCGAAACGATGATCACTCGTGACGGCAGTGGTGAAGCTACTGAGTCTCTTCTAAACATTCTCTCCCTACTCTCATGCATTCCACCCCATCTCCTTTATGTTGACTGTTGTTTCTCCCTCAGACTATTTTTGAGCGAAGCACGTGTAGGACACTAAAAAATCAACACGGGCACGTGCCCCCTGTCCGTTTCGAATAACCCAAAGCATCGGTGCACTTCGTTTGAAGGGCGCCGTAGACTACACCAGTAGACCACCGTAAAATGACTGAACCTTGAAAACCTGAAAACATCACAAACACCCTGCATCGAAACGGTCACTCATGATGGCAGCAGTGAGACCGTTGGGCCTTCTCTAAATGGTCTCTCCTGGATCCTCGTAGCAATACATCCCATCCACCTCATTTTGGTAAATATGATACTTCCTCAAACTATTTCTGGGATACGCACGCGTCGGACTTACAACACCACTATTCATCACTGAATAATCTAGATCATCGATGCATTTCTTTCAAATGGCACCATCGAAAATTCTACACCAGTGGCCACCACTATATGAGTGACCCTTGAAAAAATATGAAAACATCACAAACACCCTGCATCGAAACAATCACCCATGATGGGACTAGTGAGACTACTGAACCTTTGTATTCTAAATGCTCTCTCCTGTCCTCGCCCGTAGCTAGACAATCCATCCACCTCTTTCATGGTAAAAAATGTCACTTCCTCAAAATATTTTAGAGCTAAGCACGTGTCGGACCTATAGCACTACGACAATAATTTCTGTACATGATCTTCAACGCAAGACCATCAAGTAGCAGCCCGGACTTCTGCTCCACGATAACTTGTCCCCTCTCATCATACAAGACTGCCTGCCACGGCGCCGAAAACATATCTCGCTGACCGGTCTACAAGCAATTGCACCTCAAAACGCTGCGCTTCTCGGAGAAGAGCTTGGAGGAAAAGAAAATCCGAGAAACGAAGAAAAAAACTTGGGTGTTGAATTCGACCACCAGAGTTTCATGCCACCAGGCAAAGCGACAGCTTCGCAAAAATCCAAAAAACTTCGCACAATACGAGTAAAGCACCTCCAAGAAGCTTTGCTGCCTCTACTGGGCTGCCGCCACTTTGTGTTCTCTCGATCACTTCCTGTCCAAGACCAAACACACATGTACCTATTGCACAAGCAGCCCGTCTCGTCTCCTACATGTCGTAGGCCAACGGGATCAACGTCCTCAAATAACCTGCTTGGTGGTGAGCACTACTGGGTAGCTCGCCAGGACTTTGTCACCTTGTCTACCAACGCAAGATGTTTTTCTCCGCTGAGCCACCACATTCAAGTACACCCCTACTCCCGAAAATAAGCACATTCCAAACATGCTATGGAAAAACTGTAGGGAACTTCTAGATATTTCCTTGAATGAAGCAAGGCCCCGGCTGACAAGTCTATCCACTCCGCCGGGGGGAATCAGCCCTCCGAAAGGGAATCTAGCCACTTCATGTGAACCGCCGAACAAGACCTGAGTTACGGATCATTCGTTTAGACTCGGTTGGGAACGCACGTATCAGGCTACACCGCGTAAGGCCCTGTTAAGCAGCGCTTAACACACCCGCCGAGGTTAGATATCGGGTAAGCCGGTTCACTCCGTAGTTTCCTTCGTGTTGCCCCCACACTATCTTAAGTGAAAAAGCCCCGCGGGGTACAGTTACAGGGCTGCGAACGCCGTTAACTTACCCCCGTCATGTGCTTTAGACCCAATTCATATGGCGTAGCAGAAGAATTTCAACTTCTAGCCAAAGCCAAGTCTCTGGGGCCGATAGGTTAGGTCAATGGTTTCTATTACCATTTCAGCAATATCGGTTCGCAGTCCTTAACAATACGAGCTCTCGGGAAGCATCCAAGCACAATTGCGACAGCAACATCAGGCCGATGGACGAACCGTGGGCCACAAGCAATATCCGGAGGCCCATGCATGGGTCGGCATGGTTCACGGTCACCCGGAAAATTGACTTCTTTCTCACACGCAGACACAACGGCCTGCCTATGTGAGAGCGCATCCCTCCGATTTTCCGGAAAATTTTGAAGTCTCCCGTCCCCTAGTTCGCCTGGGTACCTAGGGATTCGACCCCCTGTTTCGCTACTACTGTACAACGCGAAACTGGATGAGATGCGCAACAACCCAGCACCTCGTAAAAGAAAAACGAACACAATGCGAAAGAAGATGTTTTGCATCTCGAATTGGACAAGATCATGTCTCCAACCCGTGGCATCTCGACCTCCCCTGCTCTATGGTAGGCACAAGGCTATGAAGCGCACCGATTCTTGCATGGTAGGACGGCTAGGCTGAACAAAAAAAACGAGGAAGTAAGCGCCTCACCACAGGGCGTGCGAAAAACTTCCATCGGGGTTCGTCAGGACGTCGTTGTGGACGCGCGTGGAGGGAGCCATGGAGGAAGGCTCAAGACCCCAGCCAAAGGGTGAAGGCGAAGTGGAACGGCTGGTCTCGGTGGTGCGGTCCCCAGATAATCCGTCCTGCGTACAACCGAGTGTGTCGACCAGCAGACAAAAGCACCGAGGAAAGGGAGGGGAACGTGCAACAACCATGGGTGTCGAAGGGGGCGAAACATCCACAAAAAATAATATTGCTTGCGGGTCTAAATGCAGAGTAGGGGTGGGCGCCATGTGATGCATTGTAGCTTTGGATGGCTGACTTGTCACCCATCACACAAACAAGGCGGACGTAATCATGGCAAAACACATCTGATCGTTTGGTATTGAGATTCGGAAATCTTCTCTCTCTGTTGTTGATCCATTCACCCGAATAGTAGGACCTTTTGCTCGCCACATTGGTGGTGCTGAGGTTCTCTTCCTGCGCAACATCGAAAGGTACTTGGCAGTGCGCCCCACATCGTATTAGCACACCTTCAGAGCCCCTCCAGCGGGGAGAACGGTCGGCCACTTCTCGTCCAGAATCGAACCGATGCTCGGAATGCTGAAGGCGTCTCCGGAGGTGGTAAACGTGCCCTTGCTGTCCCTGTCCGGCGCTACGCTCTTGCCGAGGCTGAAAGGGCCCGAAACAACCATACATCCAGCACACGCGGAGGTGAAGCATGGTGTCAGCGAACGTGAAATATGTGGTGCGTCTACAACCTGGATCGACTAAAACCGTCCCGGGGAAGCGGATGCTTGTCAAGTTGTGCTTCGGGTGTATGGCAGATCGTC